TTTCAAAGTTTGAACTCGAACATAAGGGCTACAAGTTTCGTAAAGGGAGAAAATGTTGTGCAGTTCAAAAAACACGAATAAAATGACACCAAAGTTTGGCTTGTGGATCGCCTGCACAAGACGCTTTGCTCCAGGCCTTGCCAGACTGCGCGACTCCCCAAGACGCCACCCGCCGCATGGATCCTACTCAACGGCGACTCGCCGCCGGCCAATCGACGGTCGTGACGGGACAAGTCGACATGCCCTGCTTCCCCAATCCAGTGATGCTCTAATCCTTTGCCCTGACACGATTCCCCCTCGCCCTCTCGCTCAACGCCGCACATGGCCGCCCTCTCCTATCGCGCCATGCCTCTCGCCTCCACCGACCGAGCCTCCCTCCCCAACCAGCGCCACGACGGCGACTGCACGCGCGCCTCGGCTGCCCAATCCCGTGACAACCTTATCCCTCCCTTGCCCGAGCCTCTCCCTCCGTCAATCCACGCGCGACCTCCGCTCATCTCATGAATGGCGTCCGCCCATTGCCTCGCCCAGATGATGCTCCCCCACCGCACCTCCGGTCGCACTTAGCAGCACCAGCCCTCCGCCTAGAACCTCCGTGTCGCCCTGACCCTATAAAAGGTGTCCTTGCGCCACTGGACGCGCCCTTCCGCAACCTCCAGCGCCGCCACTCACCTGCTCTGCTTCGCCGCCGCGCTGCTCTCCGTGGAGCCCCTGCCTTCACCCCGCGAAGCCCCGCGACGCCACACGAGCTAGCTCCGCCGCACCGCCCCGGAGCTTAAGCCGTCGTCTGTTACCGTCGCCGAGGCACGCCGTCGCCGGAACACCGCAAGACCCCCCCGCCACCGCCGTAAACTCTCCCCCACGTGTTTTGCCCCGACGAGCCTCTCCGCGCCGCCCGAACCCGCCCCGAACCTTCCCGGTGAGCTCCCGTGTCTCCCCGCCGCTTGCCCCCGCCAATTGCGCCGACTATCACCGGAATCGCGACCGGACCGCCACCACGAGCGCCCAAGGGCATATGTGTTTGCAAAAGTATCGCGCGGGCCTAAGTGTAATATCCCGAGGGCGTAGTTGTGAAGTTTTAGAACTTCGAGGGTCTCTGTGTAAATCTGTTAAGACCTTTTTGCGATTAATTGAAAATACGAGGGTCCGCCTGTAAGTTTACTCGGGAAAGACTGTGCGAGGACCTGTTTGTGAATCGCGAGGGTATGGTTGTGATTTTGAAAAGTTTAGACGGGCCTCGGTGTAAATACGTTTCGGTTTAATGTTTAAATTTGGCAAAAAAATAGTTGAACTTTGAAAATTCACCAAAAATCGTAGAAAATTTAGAAAAATGTCAAATAAATTTTGTTAGACTCAGTGAACTGTCTAGTTTCATATAAAAACAAGTTTGCACATGTTACTTAGAAATGTTGTATCTAGGATTTATTTCTTGCCTAGGTCATTTAAATCATAATAAATCGAGGAAAATGCTATTCCACGGTAGGTCTGGCTCCCCCAACAACGGATTCCACGATGGGGGGCTAGCTATTCCACGATGAGGGGCTGGCCTCATTGATGGGGAGCTTCTTTGTGATGGATATGAGGCTCATTCACGGATGAGGTCTCTAGATCTGCACAGTACTTTTCAATGTTGCACCTGAGATGTTTCGATAATTGAACTTTGATGTTGCATCGTCTATCAAGTAGATCTGCAATGTTGCTTCTGTTATAAGAAAATGTTACATGTAAAGGTTTTTAATGTTTCACGCATATGTGACTGACTGACCGAGATTTTCGTTTATTGATTTTTCATGTTGAATATTTGCTTATGATATGTTGCAGTAGTTAAATTGTGACGTTTCGCTTGTTGGTTCGAGATGTTGCAAAAAGTTTATTAGCCTAATTTTGCTATTAGGGGACCATGGCATATGAGATTTTGAGTTATGAACTCGTTTTTGTGGATAGACGTGAGACGGGTATGTCCAACCAGGGAGGAGCTGCTTGTTGAAATGACTGCTTGCCGATAGAAATCGATGTTACTTGCAACATTAAGCAAATGTTTCAGTGGAAGTTTTTTCAATCTAATAGCAGCGTCCCAGCGTCCGATGCTATGCCCGGACGTCGAACGTCCAGGCGCTAGCAGCGCCCATGATGAAATCCACCGATGCCTGTAAATTTTGCGCATTTGATTTCTGGAGCACTTGATGTGCAGTCGTTTCTTATTTCAATAAGAGTCCAACTCCAACTATAAATCGTGTCCCGTGGAAAATGCTAAGTTTTCAGCCTTAAACCCCATCAAATCGGATCTCGCTTTGCATGGAGGATGCGGCGCGAAGCAACATGTCATCGCCGGAGCGTCCTTCGCCCTGGCAAGAGGCACAGAAGGACATCCTCGGCGTCGTGCTCCACCGCGTCAACTCGCTCCCGGACAGTGCCCGCGCCGCCGTCATCTGCCACACGTGGCTCCGCGCCGTGGTGCATCTGCACCCACCGCTGCCGCCGTAGCTCCCATGGCGCCTTCTGCTGCCAGACTTCCAAATGTGCAGCCCGTCCTTCGACGGTGCCATGGCCGCCACGCACCGCCTCCCTCGCCCCGTCGAGGAGGCTCCGGTCTGCGTTGGGTCAACCTGCGACGGACGGGTCATCTTGCTCAAGGAACAGAGCTGCTTCTCGCTGAACCCTCTCTCCGGCACCACGAACCCGCTCCCAGATCTCTGCCTCTCGGGCCCCGGCAAATGGCTGACCATACTCGGCCTGGCCGCCAACATCAGCACGAATTCGTACAAGCCATCGCCGCCCAACAAGGTAGTAATGTCCGGCTCGCCTGACTCCGGCACGTCATCATCGCCAGCATCTCAGGTCCCAAGCTATGTCCGCATAACGACACAGATCACGCCATGTTGTTCCTCTACCGACCACGTGGTCTGTGACCGCCGTCCACAGCTTATGGGCGCAAAGCGACATTGCCTTCCACAATGGCAAGCTCTACCTATTCAAACAGGAGATATACCCTTACCTCTTGGCCTTGGATATCGGGGAAGACGCCGACGGCGTGCCCAAGTTCATGCTCGCCAAGCCGTTCCTCAGACCGCCGCCGTTGTACGGGGCCAGGCCGACGCCGTCTGCGCGGGCGACGCGTTCCACTACTACCTGATGGTGTCACGGGGGAGGCTGCTGCTGGTGAGGAGGGACTTCTCGTTCATGGAAAGCAGGACGCATGCGGTCGTGGTCTTCGTGCTGGATGAGGGCACGAGCCGGACCGAGTGGCCGACCTTGGAGACCTTGGGCGGCGAGATCATCTTCCTGAGTGCCAACAGCTCCGTGTGTAGGAAACTACATTACTTAATCTTAGTCTAAACAGGATCTTTAGCATTTAAAACATGAACCCCACTTAGAAAAGGGATAAGAAGCACAACCGGCAGCCATAGCTTGTGACGATCCGGCCATTTGTGTCGTGGACGAGGCTGGGATGACAGGTGCCGTTGGTGTACTAGCTCAGAGTAGACCCCTCCTTCCTTCAGGTCTCCACCTCGTCTGTCCAGGGACGGCGATGGTGGTGAGGTGGCGGCCTTCGGGCGATTCCAGCGCTGCCACGATTGGGAGGCGTGTAGGGGGAGTCTGTAGGGGTTTGGTGCGTTGGCAGTAGTTCCAAAACCCGCCGGCTCCCCCTTTCTTATAGCGCAGGGTCGCTCAGGGCCACAACCATAGTTCGGTTGCGCCTCCCATCGAGGCGCGGGGTGGACGTTGGTGAAGGAGTTCGAACCGGGCATCACCTTATCCTCCCGTCCGTTTCTCTCTGCCTTTTGACCACTTCTTAATATTTCCAACATTCTCCCCTTTGGTCTAAAGGCCTATAACTTATGCCATTCTTAAAGCATAATTATACGGGGAGACAATGTGTCTCCCGGCCAGACACCCGCAGCGATGGCCGCCGTCTGGCCGCCGTCCCCAGGATGATAAGGGCACGTACAACGGGCCGTCGAGTGCCGTCTGTGTCCAGTAATTTTTGCATAAAACACCCTCGTATGGTGAGGAGATGGTGCCATCGTCATCTCGTGAGAAGACGGCAAGGGCTCGTGGTCCAAGACCAAATCGCCAACTAGAGGACCGTTGTACAGGGTCGTCCTCTCGAGTCGACGACGCGGATCCTACTGCGGGTGCGCTCGGATCTAGATTTCGACGCGCGCAAGATGGTTGCTGCGCGCCAAAAATCCATCCCATCTCTCCACCCGGTCAGCGGCAACAGAGGCGGCAATGGCAGCCCGTTGCGGAAGCAGCTCGGCAGCTAGAGCAGCAATGACGGACCGCCCCGTTGCTCACGGCTTGGGTGCAACGGCATCACCCATCATTGCCGGCGCCATTCACGGCAACGGCAACCTCCTCCATGACGCGGTTGACGATGTCGCCATCTCCCTCGCATGACGCCGTCGTCAAGAGAGAAATCAACGTCACGGAGCCCCTGCTCACACGCCGGCGGCCCCACCCTGCAAGTGCAAGAAACGTCGCCGCGGAAACCTCCTCTCGGTGACCCCGACTCGTCGCGAGGACCGCGGCGACAGAGCCTCCCACCCCTCTGGCTTAGTCGGCGTTTCTGTTGTAAACGAGGTGCTCGACGAAAGGTGGCTATGGAGATCCATCGGCTTGCTGAGAACAACAGCGTGCAGCACGGCGGTAGGAGTAGCAACTACCTCAGAACGTACAAGTTGGCAGGAGTAGCAATCGCACGGGCACGATCCAAGTAAAAATAAAAAGAATTCGCATGACCCCGATGGCGATTTGGTGGGCCGGTACGGTGGAGCTTACCTACCAGTGGGCCCTTGGGCCCAAGAAAGATCGAAGTCGTCTTCATCTTCTCGCCTTCTTCACTGCGTACAACCCCGGATCCATGGTGGATGGACAGATCCACTTTGATTTGAATTGAATACTCTGCACTGCAGCACGCCAGTAAATTCACCATCCAACCCGTGCAGCCTAGAAGTTTTCGCCGGGCCGGCCCGTCTCCCGGCTAGACACCCGCAGCGATGGCCGTCGAAGAAGATGCGGCGGCTGCACGGCGCCTGCAGCCGCCGCCGCCGCTGGTGAGTCCCTCCTCGCTCCGAGGAACTACCTCTCCGTCTATAACTCGCCCCCACGCGTGGCCACTGCTCCGTGGAGCTCCCTGTTGGCTTGCCGGCTCACCTCACTTGGGGGCTTGGGGCTCTTTGTTTTGGATATCTGTCTGCGCTTTCTGTTGGGATTTGGAAGATTCGAGCAAGTTGGGCGCTACTTTACAATGAGACGGTTTCGAATTCAGCTTTTTCACAGCTGCTGCAGGACAGTTTCCTGAATTGTAATGTGGCTAGATAGTGAAATTTGGACTCTGTATCGAGATGGCGAGCAGTTTCTGATTCCTCATCTCTGTTTTCCTCTTGGTTCTTTCTCTGATTCTCAGGCTCCAGTGATAATGAGATAACAGTGGAAGAGGCCTCTTTTGTGCATACTGAACCTCCCCAGGACGGCAGTGCCCCACCCGTGGTCTCGTCTGATATGGAGGTCCTTCGTGATAAAGTTTTAGGAAACAAGTCATCAAAGAAGGCCATGGCAAGAGACCCTTAAAGTTTGCGACGTGCTTTGGTGAGTAATGGCATAAATGGTCCGTCCCAGTGCTTGGGCTTGGGATGTTAGTTTCTACTTTCTAGATAAGACTGTTTGTGTTCTATTCTATTATATTCATATCCCGTTTGTGTTTGTTTGCACTGTTTCCCCCGCATAACAATTTGGGGCAACATATATAACTTTACATGTTCACCAACTTCGTTCTCTTTCGCATGATTATGATCATGAGATGCTAATGGCCTTGCTTGCTTTCAATGCGAATAACATTTTTACTACTGAAATGGGAATATGTAAACAAGTTCTCTCTGTATAGGCTGCTCTCAACAGAAACAGACTAGACACTTTGCCATGTAAACTAGTGGAGGGCTGGAGGCTTAGAGTTCTTGATATTTCATACTAATTGTGCCTTCCTGTTACTCTTTTGCATTCACTGAGTACTAATATCTTTTGCCGGTACCTATTCAGTTTGTTGCTCTAATGCTGATGTCAATTTTCAAAACATCAGGTTTCATCATTTTTCTATTTATCAGAAGTGACCCACATCTCCTTTTCTGTTCATCGACTCATCGAGTAACAACACCTATTTTTATTTCTAGTCTAATGATCACGTCAATTCTCAAAAGTTCAAATTTGATCCTTCTTTTGTTGAAAGTTGCTTAATTCTGTCATCGCATGTCAAAGCTTTTTGCTATTGGAATGAAGCATGCACATGCATTTTGATCTAGCATTATGACAAGTGCTTCAAAGGAGAACAACAGTGAATTAACCTTTTTCTTTTCTGAATCTCGTGTCGCAGTGCACTATAGAGCATGGGTTCAAGGATCATCTCATAAATTTGAGGATACGTGGCAGGAACAGCATCCGATTGAACTAGTTCTTGGAAAAGGTGCCGCAAAAGTCACTTCACTTATTTTATACTCGATTTTGCTCCTCCGCATGCAATTTCATCCATCAACTCCATAAATTTTAACAGCTTACTTTGCATGCTATTATGATTTTCTAGTACAATCATGATGGCTCTTATCGAGGATCTCATAGCCAGTTACCCACCCAGCAACTTGCCATGCCTGCTATTAATTGGTTAATGTGTTGTGAGATGAAAGAGTGAAATATGCGTTACTCATTTCTGATCTGTACCTCTTTATGTGGCATTGCTCAGCAAGCTTACAGGTACTGGGTAACTAACCTGAGAATTATATGGGCACCATCAATAGCACAGCAGTGTTCTTTTTACTCCAACAGAGAAAAAAGAAATGTCTGGTTTAGGCATTGGTGTCAGCAACATGAGAAGTGGGGAGCGTGCGTTGTTGCATGTTGGTTGGGAGCTAGGTTATGGCAAAGAAGGAAGCTTTTCATTCCCAAATGTCCCTCCAATGGCAGACCTTGTTTATGAAGTTGAACTTATTGGAGTTGATGATATCAAAGAGGCATGCAAATAAAGTTCTCCCACCTCCACCCCACATAATGCTTTAGTCATTATTATTTTGAAGAGTAGGCTGAAATTATTCGTATTGATTAGCATTACTTGCTTCTCAAGTTGGGAACTTTCAAATCATGATAAACTGTGAATCAGGGGAAAGCCCGAAGTGACATGACAGTTGAGGAGAGGATTGCAGCTGCAGACAGGAGAAAGATTGAAGGCAATGAGTATTTCAAAGAAAAGCAACTTGAGGAGGCCAAGCAGCAATATGAAATGGTTAGTGGCATTCTTTACTTTTGGCATGCAGCATGCTTGTAGTTCTCGCAGAATTCTGATTTCAGTCCTCCTACTGTTCCCTTTTACAGGCAATTGCGTACATGGGAGACGATTTCATGTTTCAATTGTTTGGGAAGTACAGAGACATGGCCTTGGCTGTGAAAAATCCATGTCATCTCAACATGGCTGCATGCCTTATCAAACTAAATAGATTCAATGAAGCTATTGTTCAATGTAGCATGCTACGTTATTCTACTATGCTCATTAGTACACTCAGTCGTCAATACATGATTTACATCTATGAGTGCATTTTTTAGTTTGCGTAGACGTTCACATAAACTATATATGATTTTATGTTCTGACATTAAAAACATGTCTATTTAAAAATGATGTAAAGACTTGTAGCAACTAAGTTCATGTGGCCTAAATGAATTCAGATATCAACATGCAAGGTTCTGCATTACAGTTATCAAACAGCTGATTTTGCACCTTTTTCATTTTTTTAAAAGTGCCAATTTTATGATGATTGATCAATTGAACAATCCCATGTTCCTACTGCAAAATTACCCTGCTTTGTCTGGAAAATTACTGATTTGATGGCTGATCCTTTCTGTAATCTTATTGTTCAGGTCTTGTCAGAGGACGAAAGTAATGTGAAAGCACTGTTCAGGCAAGGAAAAGCTAAATCTGAACTTGGCCAGACAGAATCCGCCAGGGAGGATTTCCAGAAAGCAAAGAAATACTCCCCAGAAGACAAGGAGATCCTTCGGGAGCTCCGGTTGCTCGCGGAACAAGACAAGGCTCTGTACGAAAAGCAGAAGGAGCTGTACAAAGGTCTCTTTGGGCCAAGGCCTGAAGTGAAACCAAAGAAGGCAAACTACCTGGCTATTTTCTGGCAGTGGCTGGTGTCCTTGATTCGTTATCTGGTTCGGATGTTCAAACATAAGAATGAGTTTACCTGGAAATTGTTTAGAATTGGTGCTCGAGATTCCGTGGCCATGATGACCAACCTTGTACTATAAAACTGGAATTTCTGCTGAACTGTAATCAACCTGTTCGCCCATCATGGTTCTTCCTGAATAACTCCAAGTGGGTCATGGGTTCTCCCACATGATCCACAGTTCGCTTGTAGTATAAATCATGGTTGAATACCTTCTCAGCCTGTAAAAAGTTGGCAAACGAATATAACTAAATCAATGATGGCAAATCAGATGCAGAGCAAAAAAAAAACAGTCATCATATTTGCACTGAAGTAATGATAATTGTTAAAAATGCAAACCTTTTTCTAGAAAACATATAACTCAATAGAAATTTCACCTCAGCACAATTTTGCCCACTGTTGAGCTATTCTCAACTGTATATAAGTCACGAGTCTCAGCATCAAGGAGAATGGCATCACTTCCTGCAGTAAAAACAATTGCAGTTCATGATTGAACTGTCCTACAACTTGCTGTCAAGTACTGCATTTTCAGTATAAAATCATGATTGAGCCAAGTCTACCCAAGAGTTTCAGAAAGCAACTAAAACTGTCAACAACTTGCTGTCAAGTACTGCATTTTGCCACATCAGTAGCCTCCGCCTAAGCAGGTTTGACGTCAGTCATACTGTCCATACCATGACTCCATGAGTGACCACAGCAGGCATTCCAGCCATGTTGCACTTGTGCAGAGCAGATGTTTTAAACAAAAAGACCTGCAATGTGGAGAATTGGAGGTAAAGATCAAAGGCAAAATAAACTAGCAGTAAACACATGGGCAGTTATGCATCCTAAAACGATTAAGGAAACACAAGCTACAACATTTAAAGTTCTGTTGTTAAAACTGGTAGGTGAGAAACTCAACCTGATAACAGAGTCAAAGGTCGACCTTGGCTATGCAACTTTTAAGGAAAAAAATAGTTGTGACCCACTTCAAGTCCAGATAATAAATGCTACTGATGGACCAAAAAACACAAAGCTTCAAGGATCAATAAGTTCAGATGTTACCACAGGGAGCGTGGGATCTCTTATTAAATTATGCAATAAAAATGAAAAAACTTCTGCCGTACCAATGAATTAGTAAACTATTTACTGCTGTAAAATAACTAGGAATGGAGACGATAATTTTACCGGGTGCAGAATTTCATACTAAAAAACATGGCTAATAAATTAGAGCATGAGACAACCATATTCACTCCAAAAAATTTACACGCCACATTATTAAAGATGCCTCCACACAGCTGAGAATTTAACTCCTTTGATATAATGCTCATCTGCTGATTTCCTCAAAAAATTATACTTTTCAGGCAGGGACTTCGCATGGTGCCGATATTCTTCCCTTGAGAAAACTGATAATAGCAAGGAAGTAGTGGATGCCTCGAGTGAGAAGTTCTTCTCATCAATTTTACAGTGAACTGATTATGCAATATGCATCAACAGGGAATGTAAAATTAATACCTTCAAAAACATCTAAAGAATAAGCAACGTAGAAGATAATCATGTCAAAGTTGGCAAATCCAACACTTCACACAAAACAAACAAATCCAACTGTTCCTAACCTCCATAGAATGATAGTATTGGATATACCTAATCCATGGAATTGCAAACAGTAGACACTTATGATTGATTTTACCTTCGGGAGTCAAGAGTGCAGGATTTCTTAACAAATTATGCAACAAAAAGTATCCAAACTTTGTGGCACCCATTAACTTGTAAATTGACCCCTGTTATAAAGATAACTGGAACTGAAAACAAGATAATTTTACTTGGTGATAACTTGATGCTGAAGATCGGGATAACAATTCTCTAAAAAAAGGAGACCACAGAACATGGAAAGTAAATTAGAGCATGAGACACTGCATTAGACAGACATAATTACTCCAACAAATTTGCATGTCACATCAAGATGTCTCGATACAGTTAGAATTCAACTAGACAGATATAATTACTCCAACAAATTTGCGTGTCACATAAAGAAGTCTCGACACAGTTGGGATTCAATTCATTTGAAATAATGCTCATTTATTGACATCCACAAGAAAATGATACTTTTCAGGCAGGGACTTCGCACGGTGCAGATATTCTTCCCTAGAGAGAACTGATAATAGCAAGGAAGTAGTGGATGCCTCAAGTGAGAAGTTCTTCTCATCAATTTCGGAGAGGTAAGCCCCGACCCTCATTATCTCACCTCTATCCAACAGCCTCCTAATTATAGCATTTAGCATACGTGAGTTTGGAGTGCATCCACTCTTTTCCATTGCCAAAAACAGATTGTCAAACTCCTCTAGCAGCCCTTCTTTAATGAGATTTTCTGTCACTAAGCGATAGGTCACAACATCTGGAACTAAACCATGGGCTGAGATAGCAGTGAACATACCCATGGCATCTTCCTTTCTGCCACTTTTGAGCAAAGCATCAATCATAATGTTGAAAGTAATAATGTCAAGTTGAAAATCCTTTGAACATAGACTCTGAAACATTTTGAATGCATCATCAACAGAATTGTTTTTGCAAAGACCATTCAGAATTTTGTTGTATGTGTAAAAGTCCAACTGCATTCCACTTTTGATCATATTGAGGTAGAGTTCCTTTGCTTCAGAAAATCTCCCATACTGAAATAAACCATGCAGTATGGTGTTGTAAGTGGCAACTCCAGGCGTAACTGCATTGCTCAACATTTCTCGGAAAAGTCTAAATGCATCGTCTATCCTGCCAGCTCTACAGTAGCCGTGAAGCAAAGTATTATAGGTAACAACATTAGGTTCCAAACCAGCCGAGACCATAACATCAAGTAACTTCATAGCTTCCTCCATCCTACCAGCTAAGCAGTAGCCATCTATTAATGTATTATATGAGATAACATTAGGTCTCACACCTAGGTGTACCATCCAGTCAACGAGACTCTGAACTTCCATGACCCGTCCTTTATTCCAAAAGTTACGCATTATTGTGGTGACGAACGTGGCATTGGGATGGACCCCTTGATTCAGCATTTCAGAGAATAATTCCTCAGCCATCTCCCATCTGTCGACGGTGCACAGTCCATACACTAGTGAGCTCAAAACAACGATATCAGGAGTCACCCCTTCCTTGGTCATCTGATTGAATTTAAGCATTGTCTCGTCCACCCTTCCCAATTTGCAAAGTGCATCTATTAGTGCTCCATAGCTGACTACATTAGGACACAACCCATGCTGCCTCATCTGGTCAAATATATGCATTGCCCCATCTATCATACCACCTTTAGAATATGCACAGAACACTACGTTGAAGACGTGATGGTTAGGTGAAATACCATGTGCTACCATAAGATCTAAGATCTAAGAGATCATGCATATCAGCAAGATCTCCTTTCGAAGCATACCCATTAAGCAGAATGCTATAGGTAGTTACATCAGGTTTTGTGCCCTTTTCAATCATAGAATAAAAAATCTTTCTAGCTTCTATGATGTTTCTATTCTTGCAAAGATAGTCCAACAGCAAATTATTAGTAACAACATCTGCTCGCAGACCCTGTTTGGACATTTCATTGAGGGTTCAAACCACCTCTTTCCACTGTCCTGTAGTGCAATATCCATTGATCAGACAATTATATGTCCTATTATTTGGCTTAACACCTTTATGGATCATCTCCTGAAAGACACCCTCGGCCCTGCTAACTGCTCCAGCTTTGCATAGGCCATCAATCAGTGTATTGTAAGTCACAACATCAAGCAAAATCCCCCGATCAAGCATTTCATGAAATAGGCCGTAAGCTGTGTCAACCTGACCCTCTCTAAAGAAGCCATTGATGACAGTGTTGTACGCCACCACGTCTGGTGGGCAGCTACCACCTCCATCATCAGCCATCATGTGGAGCAGCTCAAGTGCCTCCTGAGCTCTCTTTTCATTGCAGAAACCCTTGAGAAGTGTGTTGTAGGTGACGACATTGGGTGTGCAGCCAAACTCAGGCATTCGTCGGAGCAATATGTCCATGGCCTCACCCATCCTCTTTGCATCACAGAGACCATCGAGAAGCTGATTAATGACTATGGCATCCACCCTAAAGCCCTTCTTAAGTATGAGGCCAAAGCCAGCGAAAGCGAAATCCAGGCGGTCCATGCTACAGAAGCTGTGAATGATGATGTTGTAGGTGCACCTGTCGGGAGATACCTTGTTGGGGGAGGTACGGGCCATCCGGTTGAAGAGGGAGATGACCGGCGCAGAGGTTGAGGAGCCCCTGCCCTTGGCGCGAGAGACGATGGTGAGGAGCTGGTTGAAGGCGCGAACCGAGGCGGGCCGGGCTAGTGGGAGCAATTCATCGAACAGCTTGACGGCGTCGTCGAGGCCGATGCTTCCCGAGCTGAAGCGGCCGGCGATGACACGCTCCAGCTCCAGGCACCGGTCGCGGGCAGCGCTCGCGATGCGGGGCATGTTGCCGGGGGGCAGCTAGTGCTGGAATGGTGGACGGCGGCGGCGCGTGGGCGCGTTAGTTGGGGCCTTGGCGGGAGACGGGCGCCGCGCGTATACAGTCTGACAGAGGACCGCGCGCGGCGCAGTCGCGGCCTCGCGGGGGGACTGGGGGAGTCGGGGTCTCGGGGGAGGTGGAAAATGAAGGGGAACAGGGAGACGGAGGAATCTGCGCTGGGCTGGTCAGCGGTCGAGCTGGGCCAGCAGGCCGGTGGTGGTCTGGTTCTTGCTTGGGTCAGGCCGGGCTGCATACTGGGCCTCGTGGCCGGTCTGGCATCAACAACGCGTGGAGAGAAAAAGGAGATGGGCTTGTGCTGCATGCACGGAACGAGCTGGGCCACTCGCAAGCTGGGTCAAGCAAGGTGCTAAGCAAGATTAGCAGAGACATGCACGGAACGGTTCGTTTCAGCTTGCTGCCGGCTGTTTCGGCTGCAGGTTACCTAATGCTTTTTGTGTATACATACATCATTTTCAAAGTACGAACGCTTATACTTGAACAGCAGTGAAGTAACAGCATGTAAAAACATTAAAACAAAAACAACCATCCATCAAGCTACGACATTGTTACTTTCACTGCTGCATCAAAGCTTATTAAGACCTTTTGGTGAGGCTGGAATACAACATCACACTGTCCTTCAGAGCCAGTAAATACTGGCTTACACAACAAGGATGGCAAGAAATGGGTCCTCCTGCCACTACCATGATTGGCTGGACAACATGATGTTTACTTTCGCATCATAATTTCTTCTTCTGTGAGATGGTAATAATCCTGATCTTCCTAATTACATAATGGCCACCATGCCTGCGATCGTCATTCATGAAATTCAGGAGCCATTTGCATAGCTCAGCGACACAGTCGAGACAAAGGGAGGGCACACAATATCTGCAACTACTATCATGGGCGTGATGATTTGGTAGTTGTTCAACTCTACCATTGAACCATTCTTGCGACAATAGACTTGTGCAGCCAGTAAGACTCGCTACTTCTAGAATTGGAATTGAACCGAGTAAGAATGCGCATAGAGTGATCAAAGAAAGACTGAAGTCTCGCTTTCAATTTCTTCTGAAGAACCACAGCTAGTCACAGTCATACCCATATAAACCGGGGGGCGGGGGGGGGGCGGCGTTCACCAGACTTGCAAGCCTTAATCTTATCAAAACATAGTTCACACTTCCCAGGTTGCTCACTACTATAATCGAGTTTTCCAGACGTGCTGCAGTGAAGAATCAATGATAGGCCTGCTAGTTTAAGGCAGGGCATATCCGAAACAGCATCAAGAGAACTACCAGCACCAACTCGGCACACTTGTCATCTACAAGCAGTATCGCCATTCATCAGTCTATAAACACGATTGCCTAACTTGAAAGCAATGAGTAATAAATCGTGAAAGCAACCCTGCATTTGGCCAACTCCAACTCCAACTCCAAATCAGGGCAATACAGCTCACAAACCACGATGAAGTTGGCCAGATTCCAATTTCCATGGCTGCCGACGTGCCGTGCCGAGAACTGTCATCTGGGGCATGAGCCTCTTGTACCAATTCCTTGACAAGGTCTAACTAAAATCCAGACACAGTGAAAAAAAGGATACAGCAGCGTAATCAGATTAATCATGTTTGTATGTTTAAGAATGCATAGTTGCACGTTGTTGTACTAGTAGGTTTGCTAAGAAACAAAAATAAGGGAAATGAAAAGGGGAACAAGACACAAACAAAGAACACAGAATTTCGTCCTAGCGTGGCAACATGGTTGCTTGGCAAATAGAGTATCAGATATGATGATGCTCACATGATGGGTGACACCATCATCAGTCTCTTTCGGCTGCTATCCAATTTGCCAATTTGGCTTGGAGTATCAGATAAACTTGAGAGAGAAACAAAACAAAAAAAACACAGCAGAATCTATTCTCTCCTGAGAGGCAGCAGGAAAGTGAAGCTCTCACGAGAGTAGAATCTGGGAAGGAGAAGCAATAACCCGTACTCCACTTGTGTTGTATGCAGGCACAGCTTGGGACCAACACCAAGTGCATCGTCACATTACGCCCTCGTCAGACTTTGCAAACAGAGACAGTCATGTGGCGATAAATTACGACAGGGACATGGACATCGCTATATAGCTGTTGAAATTACAAGGACCAGAGAGCAGCAATTATCGACTTAGGCAGGGCGAAAGACAAATGCGATGATACGATAGGCTGCAAAACATGTGGTTGATGGCAGGAATCAGCAAAACTTGAGAACCAAATTGGAGCACAAGTGTGTCGTAAAGAATGGTCGTGCGATATATTAGATGGCAATGTGCAGTAATCTATGAAGATATCCATGCAGTGCGTGGTATAGGCACCACAGTGCCGCTGTACCACTCTGAAATTGTGCCAGAATCATTTCATTTGTAGCACCGTATTGCTGCATTGCATCAGAACAGACCAGAAGCAATGGAGGTATGGAAAGCGTACAGCAAGCAGAAATTTGCAAGCTTTTGTACACCACCTGATCTTTTGCACACAGCAGAAATGCAGAATCAAACAAACTCTATGTATAATCCTTTGTTAACTGTACGAGCACACAGCTAGAATTATCTGGAAAAGAGGAAAAGCATGAAAAAGAAGGAGATGATCCTCTCCTCCCTGTATACCACATTTTCATGGTGTCTTCCCGAACTCACTCATTTGGCACACTAGAATCTACAAACCTAAATACTGTAAGCACAACCAGTCCCATCTTGGTTTGGTTGGATTCGCTAAATTCCACCAAATTTTCCAAGTCATTGAGAAGCAGTGACCAGAGGAAGCAAAGCATGGCGAGCGAAGCAGTGGCCAGAGGAAGCAAAGCATGGTGAGCAGCAGCATTGACCTGAAGAATTGGCCATCAAGGCGGGGCCCTCAACGCCTGCACGACGAGCGCGAAGCCCGGCGCGGCGGCCTCCTCCTCGAGCCAGAGCCTGCTCTCGAGCGTGCTCCTGGCTCGCAGCATCACGACGGCGCACCCCGGCGGGTCCCGGAACCACCAGCCGTGCAGGTCCCACAGGACGTCGACGGGCGCGCCGTCGACGAAGACCGTCTGGTTGCCCCTGAAGTTCCAGCGCAGCCTGCGTGCGTGCACGGCGCGCTTGCCGTCGACGCTGACCCAGAGCTCCTCGCCGCCGCCCCCGGAGGTGGTGGCGCAGCCGACGGTGACCTCGTGCTCCGGCGCGCCCTCGGCGAAGCGCACCCGCGATGCGTGCATCGCGTTGGGCGCCGCCACGACGCGGTCCGCGCGGGCGACGGGGTGGAACCGCGCCTTGGGGATCTGGCCCTCGAACTTGGCCTTCACGAACTCGGCGGCGAGGTCGCCGACCGCGAGCACGACCTCGGCGTTGGCGACGGCGACGAAGTAGAACCCCGAGACGGGCTCCGGGGACGAGTCGGTGGCAGCGGTGGCGTACTTGGAGGCGGTGAGGTCCCAGAAGAGGGCGAGCGGGGGGTGGTGGTCGTCGGAGGAGGAGGAGGAGGGGAGGGAGCGGGTGCCCTTGCGGCGGCGGAGGAGGACGGCGGGGGAGGAGGCGGTGGGGCCGGCGAAGGAGAGCGTCGGAGGCCCAACGGGGGAGTGCGCCCAGGTGAGGCGGAGGAGGAGCGGCGGGGAGGCGCAGGTGTGGTAGGTGGCGGTGACGGAGAGTGTGGCCGGGGAGGAGGAGGAGGAGGCGACGAGCGTGGAGGCCGGCGTGGTGCAGGCGACGCGGACGGCGCCGTTGGAGACGCAGGAGGCGAGGTCCCGGACGGAGGAGGGGAGCAGCAGGCTGGACGCGCTCACCATTGGGGAGGTGGGGAGTGGGGGCGCGCTCCCGATCTGCGGCGCGGCGTGCAATGCGTGAGGTGAGGTGAGGTGAGGGTGGCGTGGGAGGTGGGGACTGAGGGGGTTATGAATGGTGGGCGCGGGGGACGGACCCGACGGCGAGGGAGGCGGGCGGCAGTGCGGAGGTGGGAGAAGAGCAGAGCAGAGCAGCCGACTGGTAACTGCCGGAGCGGGGGGCGAGGATGCTTCTGCTTTAAGGCTAGCAGGGACCGTGATGGCCGTCGGATCTGAAACGAGGGAGCACGAGCCGTCCGCTTTGCCCGGCACACGCTTTGAAGGCTGTGGACGTGAAAGAGAGATTTTTTACAGGCTGTGGACGCCAACGAGGATTTTGAGAGGAAGCATTCAAACATAAAATTGCATTAAAAAAAGGATTTTGAGAGGAGCTTTGACAGGATTCCGAGCTCATTTTATACCAAAGGACTATCTTGACAACACTATAAATAAAATATGTCAATTGGATTAAAAATCAAACCGTTTGAGTCCATCCATCTATTTGGTTATACTAAAAGTAAAATACAACAACAACAACAAAGCCTTTAATCTCAAATAAGTTGGGGTAGCCTACAGTTGAAACCCAGCGAAAGCAATCAAGGTTCAGACACGTGAATAGCTGTTTTTTAAGCACTCCTATCTAAGATTAAGTCTTTGAGTATATTCCATCCTTTCAAGTCTCCTTTTATTGTCTCTACCCAAATCAATTTCGGTCTTCCTCTGCCTCCTTTCACGTTACTATCCTGACTTAGGATTACACTACGCATCGGTGCCTCTAGAGGTCTTCGTTGGACATGTCCAAACTATCTCAATAGGTGTTGGACAAGCTTTTCTTCAATTGGTGCTACTCCTAATCTATCACGTATATCATTGTTCCGAACTCGATCCCTTCTTGTGTGACCGTAAATTCAACGCAACATATGCATTTCCGTGATACTTATCTGTTGAACATATTGTCTTTTCGTAGGCCAACATTCCGCACCATACAACATAACGGGTCTAATCGTCGTCCTATAAAACTTGCCTTTTAGCTTATGTGTACCATTTTGTTACATAGGACACCAGATGCTTGGCGCTACTTCATCCACACCCTGCTTTGATTCTATGGCTAACATCTTCATCAATATCCCCGTCTCTCTGTAGCATTGATCCTAAATATCGAAAGATATCCTTCCTATGCACTATTTGACCTTCCAAACTAATATCTTCCTCCTCCCAAGTAGTAGTATTTTGGTATGTAGTCACATCTCATATACTCGCTTTTAGTTCTCTTTATAGTCTAAAACCTTTAGACTCCAAAGTCTTCCTCGTGCCATAACTCCAGCCCGCTTAATATTGTTTATCTCCGATTCACTCTGTCCGACTTTCATCAACTAGCACTGCTTTCCTAAACAGTTAAAATCGATCTTTACACGGCCGCCCTTCATTTAGCGTCCATCACTTGTTCAAACATTAGTCACAACATTGTTGCACATGTGAAGGGTCGAGATGGCGGACTAGAGGGGGTGAATAGTCTTTCTAAAATTAATCGGTCAAGCACAATTAAAACAATCGGTCTAGCCAAGACTACACCCTCTATATATGTTCACTAGCACCTTGCAAAGATACTAATAAAGCAACTAAGGTGCAAAGCTAGCTAGAGCTCTCTATAAACAATTCAAGGAGCAAGGTCACAAACCTATGACCACGGTGTTTAAACGAAGTTAAATGGTCTAAACAGCTTTTACTTTAAAAAAAATACATATAATTATATATGTGCATGTAAAAAATCAAGTATTCTAGTATTTATACATATTTATCCGAGTAAAAAATTAATTATTTTGGTATATATATATATTTATGCATGTGAAAAGAATCAAATATAGATATTTATGCATGTAACATATCAAGTGTACACATTTATAAATATAATAAACTTAAGTATACAAATTTATCCATACAAAATGAGAGCACAATGCCCCTCACAACTAGTTTTACCTTCGTGTTCGTCTCTGGCAACCTCCAAGAGTAACAAGCACCACCGGCTCGCCGAATTCGATCAACAAACCTCACGATGCAATCGCAGCCTCACACAATCGGATGATCGCTTAATATGTTGTTTATCTCCGCACTCACAAGCATGGACACTCGGTGGCCGCTTAGATCGTTTTTACCCCTTCTCGTTTTTGACCCTGTTCCAACGGTCACTTGACTTGACCGGAAGCTATCAACCGCCGGACGCTGAACAACGTTTAATTTCGGACGCAGTTTAGCGTCCGTCACACTCCGACTAAAACAAAACAGTTTACCAATGTTTACTGTTTACTTCATCCGCTTTAAACAAGAACTTGCATCCGTTCTATTTTCCCGAAGCTGTTTAGGCGAACCCAAACCCATCTCAGCACTACATCGTGCCAACACCACCAAGTGTATGTGTGTTAGCATTTTCAAATTTCATATGTTAGCCACTCAACTTGCCACGCCACTCGATCCTAGCGACAATGCAAAGTTAGATCACTCGAGTGGCACTAGGGATGTCCACTTGTATATCCCATCTATCCTAAACCCGGTACTTCTCATCCATTACTAAGACAAATATACCTTTGCCTCAGATATTCCATCTCCTTCAATGTCGATCAAAGCACCAACACGATCAACAATCATATGATCCACTTCATATCATCATCCTTGATGTAGTCATATCCTAATCGGGCCAAGTCATCCGTGTCTCCATCAAAGCCTTTGACTTGTTCAAACATTAGTCACAACATTTGTCTTGATCACTCATGTGTCCTTAATGAGTCCGACGTTAGTCCACCTCGGTTGTCACTCAATTACCAAAACCAACGTTGGGACTTTATGTTTGTCCAAAGCCCACCACATAACATTTATTGGTATTTTATCATAAGCCTTCTCCAAGTCAATAAAAATCATATGTAGGTCATTATTCTTCTCCCTATACCGCTCCATAACTTGTCTTATTAAGAAAATGGCTTCCATGGTTGACCTTCCGGACATGAAACCAAATTGGTTCATAGAGACCCGTGTTATTGCTCTCAAGCGATAATCGATAACTCTCTCCCATAGCTTCATAGTATGGCTCATCAACTTAATTCTCCGGTAATTATTACAACTTTGAATATTCCCTTTATTTTTATAGATCGATACCAATATACTTCTCCTCCACTCGTCAGGCATCTTGTTCAATCGAAAAATATGGTTAAACAACTTGGTTAGCCATACTATAGCTATGTCCCCAAGGCATCTCCACACCTCGATTGAGACACCATCCGATCCCACCGCCTTACCTCCTTTCATCCTTTTCAACGTCCCCTTGACCTCATATTCTTGGATTCTCCGCACAAAACACCTATTTATGTCATCAAAAGAGTCATCCAACTAAAAGGTTGTGTCCATATTCTCACCATTGAACAATTGTCAAAATACTCTTGCCATCGATGTCGGATCTCATCCTCCTTCACCAAGAGATGCTCCATTTCATCCTTAATGCACTTAACTTAGTTGAAGTCCCTTGTCTTTCTCTCACGAACCCTATCCATCCTATAAATGTCCTTCTCTCCTTCCTTCGTACTCAAATATTGGTAAAGATCCTCGTATGCTCTACCATTTGCCACACTTACAGCTCGCTTTGCAGTCTTCTTTACCACCTTGTACTTCTCTATGTTATCCACACTCCTATCATGATACAAGCGTATATAGCATTCTTTCTTCTCCTTAATAGCCCTTTGGACTTCCTCGTTCCACCACCAAGTATCTTTAGCCTGGCCTCCACTTCCTTTGGTTACTCCACACATCTCTGAGGTCACCTTCCGAATGTTGGTTGACATCTTCTCTCACATGTTGTTTATGTCATCTTCTTCCTTCTAAGAGCCCTCTTTGATAACTCTTTCCCTGAATATCTCTGACGTCTCCCCTTTCAGTTTCCACCACTTTGTTCTTTCAATCTTAGCTTGTTTATCCCTACAGGCACGCACCTGAAAACGAAAGTCTGCCACCAAAAGCTTATGTTGAGAAACAACACTCTTCCCTGGTATCACCTTGCAACCCAAGCATGCTCGTTTGTCCTTTTTTCTTGCGAGGACAAAGTCAATCCAGCTAGAGTATTGTCCGCTACTGAAGGTCACTAGATGAGATTCTCTCTTTCTAAAGAAAGTGTTGGCTATCATCAAGTCAAAAGCTACCGCGAAGTCCAGAACTTCCTCCCCCTCCTGATTCCTACTAGCATACCCAAAACCTCCATGAACTGCCTCGAAACCTGCGCTTGTAGTACCTACATGTCTATTAAGATCACCTCCTATAAAAAATCTCTCGCTACTAGGTACAACTCTAATCAGGCATTTAAGTCTTCTCAGAACTGTCTCTTAGCACTCTCGTCGAGGCCTACTTGGGGGGTATACGCACTAATTACGTTCAAGACCATATCACCAATGACAAGCTTGACTGAGATAATCCTATCTCCTTGCCTTCTCACTCCCACCACACTATTCTTGAGGCTCTTATCAATCAAAACTCTTACTCTATTTCTATTCGCGACTGTCCCTGTGTACCAAAGCTTAAAACCTATTTTATCCACCTCCTTCGCCTTCTGATCCTTCCATTTAGTCTCTTGAACGCACAATATATTTACACGCCTCCTAGTCGTGGTATCAACTAATTATCTTAACTTACCTGTAAACGACCCTACATTCCAACCACCTAAATGGATCCTAGTTGGTTCGACTAGCTTCCTTACCCTTCGCACCCGTCGACTCAGATGCGAAGACCCTTGCTCATTTTTCACTACACCCAGCCGCCGATGTAGCGTGCCACTAAGGATGCGACGACCCGATCCTTGCTCACTTGACACCGTGCCCAGATCGCGACACGCGTGCGTCACGGGGGTGATGACCCGGTCCTTGCTCATTTAACATCATACACGGGTTCTGATATGGCACGGCGCTAAGAGGGTTACGCCCCAACGGTTTTCT